CCGCGTGGGGCGTCTGGTAGATATCCTACAGTTGGAGGTTCATTGTGAAATTCACTTGACTCACTTCTAGTAGTTGACTACATCTTCTACGCGCCGCTAGCGAATCTTATATGTATTGTTCTTGTCGTAAGTATTATCGTTCATTACCAACCATTGTGTGATTATTTTATTCAGTAACCTTCCATAGGTTACAACACTAACTAAGAAAGGAACAAGCACAATTATGATAAGATTATTATTATTATTATTATAATTATTATTATTATTCGTATATTTACTGATAAGTTCTTAATATTTAGTAATTAATACATGGATAGTTTATTGCAACCAGTAGCATTAGGTATCATGAATTCTTCTCCAGACACTAAGTGTACATCACTTTAGGGATTATCCCTGCCGTTCCGAAGAGGTTTCCGTTCTGTAACAATTCCACCGGGAAATCGATACCAATTTTCTTTATCCGTGTCTCCATTCTCTCAGTCATCGGACCAATTGTACCATCGACCCTTGTGACCTTCTTCAAATTCCGAATTATTATTATCGAGGAACAATAATTCAGGTAAAAGAGCAAAAGAAATTTCAACCTTAAGTAAAAAAAAAGAAGTAATTATTATTGATACTGTTGTAACTAGGAATTAAGGAAACAGAAGCACCGTTTCATCTATATTAGGCAGTACCGTGTCGGCCATATTGTATATGTGTAAATAAAAGAGCTGGAGTGTCGCTTCTGCAGACAGAAGTCACCTGACTAAAATGTCTTTTAAGACTCGTTTCTAACGTAATTTTCAGGCCGGTGAAATGTCGTAAAAGACGTTTGCAACTGAATCCTTTGAATTATACCTGCAAAGAACTTTTTGGAACAGGAATATTTTTTGTTAAGTAATTTTCGCTTATTTTTTCTATATTCTTTTTGTTTGAATCAAACTTTTGATTTTTTTTTCTTTTTCAGTTTTTTCATTTCAGTTTTCTCTTCGGCTTTGGCCGCCATTTGTAATTTTTGTCTGGTCTCACGTAAAGTTCTTACCAGGCAACGTTTTTTCTTATATTCCGTTTTTCTTTTGTTGTATAAAAATAAAGTGTCGTTGCCGACACTGTAGTTTGAATACAGATCACCAGCGAGCAAACACAGACACGTGACGTCTAAGTGATCGCTATTCTCTATACCATCCACTATACTATTTCTCTATACTGATCATTATACGAATTACTCTTCGGCTATTACTATTTGAACATGTATTATTATTGCGAGTATTATTTGAAGGCGTTACTACTACCACTATCTACGTTTGCCAAGTCTCGTCTTTCGCAAGTGATAACGAGAATTTCGCGAGTGATAACGAGCGTTCGTTGACCAAACGAAAGTTACAACGAATGAGCGTTCTAACATCACAAAAAGTGCATAGTTTACTTTTAATTTTTATTTATTATGCCATTTATTTGGAAAAAAAAATGAACAGAAATCGTTTTTTGTTAATTGTTTCACTTTTAGAATTTTTTTTGTCAATCATTTAATTTTTTCAGTTTTCCATTCTCGGTTCTCGACCGACATTTATTTTATATTATTTCTCTGGGTTAACTGCTATTGTTTTTCTTTATTTTTATTTCTTAAATATTATTGTGTTTTTTTTTAGTTTAAACTCTTTCATTTATTTTCGTCGTTTGTGCGAATTTTGTTGTCTTCTGTCGGCGAATCTTATTTTTCTTTCGTCGAATTTTATTTAATTTTTCTTCTTTATTTAACATTGTTTTATTTCTTTTTTGGTATTTTTGTGTATTTTTTTATAGTTGAACTAAAGATTAATTGAAAATAAACGAAATTTATTTGTTTTTTTAATTTTTTTTCAAAGTATTCCGAACTTTTTGTTTCCATTTTTTAATCAGTTTTTTCTTTATTGTATGACATACTTCTACTTTGTATTATCATTTTTCCTTTTATTTCTATTTCTTGATTTGATTTATTTAGAATTACAGAAGTGATGGTGTCAGTCTTCGTGATAGACAAGCGTTCGCGAAAAATTTGTCATTCCACGAAAGACAGTGATCCAGCCACTGATGTTCCTGGGTGTCAAAGACATACAAGGTAGCGGATTTTTCATATGGGACGTACTGCTACCCTCAGCGGAGGATTGTATAGAGGTTGCGAGCTGAGACTTGATTGCCAAAGACTTAATGCTAAGAACGGAATAAGACGGTCGGCCCAAGACCAGCAAAGCAGTATATGAGGTCCATGCTCAGTGATAAGAGAGCACCTAGCTACCTACTTAAGTCAGTTATGGCCAAATCCTAGGTGTTACCTCTGATCGGAGGATGGAGCTTCGATATTATGCTCGAATGTTTTCTCTCCGTCCCCAACTGCTTGAACTTGTGCGACCGGAAAATGCCGGTCATCTTGAAAATCAACTTGTTGGAAGTGTGGAGGAAATGGTCACCTTTCCTTTTCCTGTCCAGGGAAGAAGGCCTCTGAAGTTTTGGCCGCAAACGACCCAAAACCCCATCTGATCTATGTTGATAGTTCCGTGGCGCCTGTAATGGGCCTACCAGCGACTCGGACCGGTGTGGGTGCTTTCCCACATTCAAGTCAAAATCGAAGCCACTGGCAAGTGCAAGCAAGGAAAAGGAAGAAGGGGAATGACGTTGGTAGGGGCAGATGAAAAGGCCACAACAGCGGGGCGTCAGTCCCCCTGAAGGCCCCAGGACAAACGTCACCTAAAGCCCCATTCCTTCTAATGGCGATGTTCCAGCATCCTATGCGACTATCGCAAAGGATATACAGAAGAAGTTTGAGCCGAGCGAGGACAAAATTCTGAAATTGTGGCAACTCAAAAAAGAAGCGGGAAAAGAAACCAAACCCAGTGGGGGGGTCAACCTATGCCCCGTCTTCCTCATCATCAAAATGGATCATGGTCCCTCTCCAATGACAATATTATTGAATCCTACCCGCTCCAAAATGACCAGCTTAACGAAAAACACACCATCTTGTGGGATCTTCCACAACAAACCAGCCTTACCTCTTTTTAGGAAATGCACTCTTCCTATCTGGTAAGTAACAGCCTACTTTCATACAATATAACAAGTGTTCATTGGTCAATCACCTCCAATCTAGCTTGTTGATTGGTCAGTTCCGACCAATCAAACCGCCTGCACGACACCAATCTGTTTTTTCCGGGTTCTCCGTTTGAGCCTCCCACGTGGTACACGACCATTATATAAACCGAACACGTGTGAACTCTCTGAGTAGTTTTTTCTTTTCATTCATCTCTATCGCACGTCTCATTCTTTGACAAGATGTAACCTCCAAGAACTCCCGTCTTAGTCATTGCTGGCCAGACGTTAAAGACAATTACCAACATTCACGAACTCTGAAATCAGTCCTGAACTTTTACCAACTTTGCAACTCACAATTCCAAACTTTATTCTTCTAAATTACAGTTTGATATTACTTCTTCTTAATATGAACTCCGGTACAACAATTACCTAATCAAAGGGACACGACTCTGTCCTACCATTTCAGTTCGCATGCATATATATCAAATATTAATAAATCTAATTGTTATGTTTTGGAATCATTCCGTTCAGTTTTGTATTTTATTCTACGTGCTATTTACGTCAAATATAAATTGCATTGCGTTCACGCATTGTCCTTAATCTCACCTTTCCTAGCCCAAGTTAAATATTGGTAACTTAATCACTACAATAATGATGACCGCGACGTTCGTCGTTCGACGTTCAACACAACAATGGTAGTGCAACCGCTACATATTTAGTGATCCCGTCGGAAAACAACAATAATGGTAACCCCTGTCGCTACAATCTCCTTCTCCAGTCCCTTCTATACAAACCACACCTGTCTCCACCTCTAATGCCACGCCTTCACTGCCACCACAAAAGCATGACGCATCAAAATAACAGCAAAGCCCTGACATTTCCTATGCAGAAAAAAAAAAAGACGAAACAACCTCATGGACTCGGTGAAGACGTCTGCCGCGTATCCGCGAAGGAAGTACAAAAAGCATAGACATATTCCAAATAGATCAGAGATCTCAATTTTTCACTCAGTGTAAAAACTATGGGCGGGAAGGACGTTGAAAACCCCCAAAATTTTCGAAAAGCAAAGAGGGTTTTAACAGTGGCACGATCAGGCTCAGATGCGCGGCAGATATGGGGTATGATCGAGGAGACCAACGTTAACAGCTCAAGGTGCCCGCCACTGGCCTATTTTGACAAGAAAAATGTTTCGACAATATTGTGCTGGGAGGCTCAGGTTTTTGTTTACCCTTCCGTGTAAAGAGCTCTCAAATTAACGTTTTCTTTGGACATTGGCGTCCTGTCTCCTGAAGGCGCCATAAAAGTGTGAAATGAGTCTAGGCTCAATGGAACAGTCCGTCAGTGTTTTCACCTCGGCCATGTTTAATGCAGAATGGTAACTCTAATCGGCCTGATAATGTCTCGCTGGTTGGTTAGCGTAAATGCCCGAGTCTTGCTCGCGACGTTCAATGTCTCGGGGCGAATGAATCTTGAAGTAGGAGTCTATACCTCAACGCTTGACCAGGAGTGTGATCAAGTTGCTACGCAAGGACAAAAATCGCTATTTCCATGGAAAGAGTCCAGATGAACTTCAGTCCTTATTTCCACCAGTTCCAACCTTCAGAACTCAGACTCAATAGGGCACGCCCATTGTAGCATTCATATTCCATTGAAGAGATGTAACTTTCACGAAACTGGTGTATTGTGGAACCGACTCCCAAGAGGATGCTTTCCTGATCACTACAATCTTAACCTGTTCGAGTCTAGGGTTAACCGTATTCTTCCCCTCCTATGCGCATAAACTCCCTGTTAATGTAACCTTCCAACTCGAGTGGCTCCTGGGCATTTTACAGAGGAGTGAACTTTACGTTAAATATATATATATATATATATATATATATATATATATATATATATATATATATATATATATATATATTCTATAGATGAAATTTTTGAGGCAGAATGATATATACCCACAGGCAGATTGACAGACAGACAGATAGATAGATAGATAGATAGATAGATATGAAACAGACCGAGATACATGAATAGATAGATAGATTTGAAGAGAGTGGGAAACACTGCAAGATAGATAGATAGAGAAATAGATAGATAGATAGATATTTGTATAAAATGAGTTAGATATGGACAGATTTAGATTAATATATAAATAAATCGTTGATAAACGGACTGAGATAGATATAAACAGATTGTGGTATATAGATAACTGCTAGGTAACCATGGCATATCTGAGAAGGCGATTAGAATAATCCACATGTACTGGCAATAAATCGCCTGAATAGGGATAGAAAATGAATTTAACAATTCGAAAGGCATGTATAACAAGGATGTCTAAGGCCATCTAAGTCCCTAGACTGCAGCCCCCTTGATTATTATGTGTGGGGCGCATTATTACCTTGTATTACCAAAGATGAAGTGAAGGCAAGGATTATGGCAGCATTCACCAACTTAAACAAGGAGACCGTCCAGAAAAGATGCAGGAGACTCCGACTTCGTCTGGAGGCCTTGGTTGAAGCCAATGACGATTTTATTGAATACATTTACTCTTTAGTATTTCCAGATATTTTTGTGTAATTTTAGGTAAATATTAAAACGAGTTGTCAGTGTTATTTTCATTTTTGCCTCATTCAGACGACAATGTATCCATCGCACCCTGTAGAACATTTAAATATCTGGGAAACTTTTTAACAGACGACGAAAAAGGGGTGGGGAGAGACCGAAATCTAAAGGGACGTTGATATAAAGAAAGATGCCTTCTAGAATATAAACAACGACATTAAGATACAGAAAAATTTCATTTGAATGAAACATACTGAACTGTAACGTGTAACGTAATATCAGTCCTCTTATTACATTGTAGAGTATGCCGGACAATCTCACAGATGAGGAAGAGGCATGAGCGTAACAGAAATGTGGTTCTACAGAAGGATGCTGAGCATGGCATTCACTGACCAGTTGAGTAACGAGGAATAAAAACGGCGCTTATACATCGACTAAAAAGAGATTATTGACATATTGAAGACACATAATGAGGAAAGAAGCCTTGACGAATTTGACACTAACAGGTACATACTGAAGGCAAGAGAGAAATAGGGAAAGGAAGATTGTTTTTGGAGCGGCTAGAGTAGGAGTTAAAAAGCACAATATATGAGGATAGGGGAGGAAAGATAACAGTTAACTCCTGACTTGAATTGGTTAAGATTATGGTGATCGTGAAAATATCCTGTTGTTAATACAATACCAATTCGCAAAATTTAGTCTAGACTTCAAGAGGAGAGAAACACAGTTTATGGGGATATTTTGGAAAGATAATAGTTAAATTTAGACTTGAAAAGGTTAAGATTCTAATGATCGGTCAGGCATCCTGTTCTTAATACAATATTCACTCACAATATTTAGTCTAAACCTCAAGAGATGAGAGAGACTGTTTATGGGGATATGTTGGAAATATGACAGTTAACTCTAGACTTGAATAGGTTTAGTTTGTATTGACCAGAAAAGTATTTTGGTGTTAATAAATATTTTCTCGCAAAATTTATTCTAGATTTAAAGCGATGAGAACTGCAGAATATGTGCATATGTAGGAAAATAACAATTCATCCTAGACTTGAATAGGTTAAGATTGTATTGATCGGCAAAGCATCCTGTTCTTAATAAATATCAACTCGCAAAATTTAATCTAAACATGAAAAGGTGAGAGACACTTTTTATGGGAATATGTTGGAAAAATAACATTTAACTATAAACTTCAAAAAGTTTAAGGTTTTAGTGATCGGCAAAGCATCCTGTTCTTAATATAATATTCACTCACAATATTTAGTCTAAACATAAAGAGATGAGCGATACAGTTTATAGGGATATGATGGAAACATAACATTTAACTATAGACTTTAATAGGTTAAGATTTTAGTGTTGAGGAAACTGTCTTCTTTACTGTAATTTGCAGTAGGAAAGGTGGAGTAATGGATAGTGGCTCGGATTAAGGAATCGGAGAGCCGAGTTCGAATTTCGGCCGAATCCATAATGTTTCAATTACGCACTATAACCCTTGGGAAAGGCATGAATCCTCTTCTTCTCCCCCAAGCTATGGGTAAATAGCAGGACAGAACGGGTTCTATAGCCTTTGATGGCAACTGGTTTACCGCAGAAAGAAATGACAACCTACTGCGTCAGTCATCTATCGAAAGGTACATGATCGCCTAAGCATTTATCACGTATGGCACATAACTGAAAAAAGACAAATTAGAGTAAAAAAAAAAAAGACTAACTTATGGAGAATTGTGTTTGCCTATGTCCTTTAAATTTGTGACCTTGACTTCTGGTCTTCTTTTGTAAGCCAAGGTCACAAATTTGAAGCATTTGATGTGCCTGTCGATATCCCGCTTACGAGATTGGCTGGTTAACCAACGTGGTATGATGGTCGCCCATGTCTTTATATTATAATAATGTCTGCATGGGCGCCCTGAACTCTACGATAACTAATGACGATGAATAAAAAAAAAAGAAAGAAAAGAAAGGTTAATTTTATGTGGAATACGATGATGCATTGATTTTCTTTGGCATCGACTTGTTGTTCTTGCAGAAAGAAGAGATCAAAATGTGCACCGGGGTGGAAAAAGCCGTTCTGTCGGGATGAATTTTGGCAGACGAGAATTTCGACCGACCTAAATTGTCTTGCTTTTTTTCTTTCGTTCGCATAATTCGAAATCTCATCTCTTTCTTTCTTTCTTTCTTTCTTTCTTTCTTTCTTTCTTTCTTTCTTTCTTTCTTTCTTCACGTCAAAAGCGTCCCTTCGCCTTTTCTTTCTCTACTGCTTTGATGTCGTTCGTTTTATTGCTTTCCTCTTCGTTTCTTTGTTTAATTCTGTTAAATATTCCCCACCCTCTCTTCTACTTTGTATTCTTTCTTTCCTTTTCCCCCTCTTCTTCTTTATCTTCTGCTTTGCATTTTACCTTTTTTCTTTCTTTTTTATTTTTGCTAAATGTTCGAATTCATTTTCATTATATTCTGCTTCGTTCCGTTTCTTTCGTTTCGTTTCGTTTCTTTCTTTTTTTCGTTTCTTTCTTTCTTTTTTCCCCTCTTCTTCTTTATCTTTTGCTTTTCATTTTTCCTTTTTTCTTTTTTCTTTTTGCTAAATGTTCGAATTCATTTTCATTATATTCTGCTTCGTTCCGTATCTTTCGTTTCGTTTCTTTCTTTCTTTCTTTCTTTTTTCTTTCTTTCTTTCTTTATTTTTGTAGCCATGTCGTATCCAAAAAAAAATTGGAATACCTAACATGATATCAAAAAAGTCTCCTTCCTTTCTTTCTTTCTTTCTTTCTTTCTTTCTTTCTTTCTTTCTTTCTTTCTTTCTTTCTTTCTTTCTTTCTTTTCCCCCTCTTCTTCTTTATCTTCTGCTTTGTATTTTTCCTTTTTTTTCTTTCTTTTTTATTTTTGTTAAATGTTGGAATTCATTTTCATTATATTCTGCTTCGTTTCGTTTCGTTTCTTTCTTTCGTTTTTTCTTTGATTTTTTCTTCCTTTCTTTCTTTTCAATGTTGTTCCTTCTTTTATTTATCTTCTGCTACGCATTTTTTCCTTTTCTTTCTATCTTTCTCTCTCTCTCTTTCTTCCTTCTTTTTACTTTCTGTTAAATGTGCTAAATCTTTTTCATTATATTTCTTTCTTTTTTAAAAAATATCTATCTATCTATCTATCTATCTATCTATCTATCTATCTATCTATCTATCTATCTATCACAGCCTGCTTGTATTAATCCAATCGTAACATATAGATTGTTTCCTTATAAAACTCTCCATTTTTAATTTCATTAATTAGCATCGGGAATTTTCCTAATATTTCTGAATGCGATATATGTATATATATATATATATATATATATATATATATATATATATATATATATATTGTGTGTGTATATAGGCAGCATCTTTTTTCATTCATACATGTTTCATTAAATAATATATACAAGTGTTGTCTATGGTCTGTGCGGGCAGGCATGTTGTTTTAAATGCCTAAAATATATGCACGTGTTTATCGTTGCTTAGAGATCATCTATGTAAACATTCACAGACTGTCATCACTGCCTTGTCCGTATATTCCTTAATATGTTGTAAGTGACATCTTTGATAATGGCTTATGTAAACCGAAAGATTAAATTATATTAAAAAAATATGGATCAATATTGTGAATTTCTTTCTTCGTTCAATTATAATGTTATTAAACTTATTAGACGTTATGAAAAGAGTTTACATAAAATATAAATAGACAACACTTGTCTATATTATTTAATGAAACGTGTAGGAATATATATATATATATATATATATATATATATATATATATATATATATATATTTTTGCGTGGTCTGTTTTTTATTCAAACATATCTGCTCTGAATTTTACATTGAGCTCTCTGGATATCATCCTCCTCAGGTCTACCCACACAGATTACCTAAGTTTGCATAAACTATATATATATATATATATATATATATATATATATATATATATATATATATATATATGTGTGTGTGTGTTTATATATATATATATATATATATATATATATATATATATATATATATCTTGTGTGTTTATATATATATGGGTGTGTTTATATATATATATACGTGTGTTTATATATATATATATATATATATATACGTGTGTGTTTATATATATATATATATATATATATATATATATTTCGAGAAGGCGAGACAGTAAGGAATATAGATACGGTATATGAGACTTTCCGTGGGAAGTGTCAGAAAATGAAAGGCTGTGCGTGTCTGTGATATATATTTACACAGATGGAGAGAGAGAGAGAGAGAGAGAGAGAGAGAGAGAGAGAGAGAGAGAGATTGATGCTATGAATGAAAGAAAGTACTGAGGTATGTTAACCTCCCCCTGTTCTGTCCCCCCACAAAAACTTATTGACAAGCGTTCAGAATTTTTGACAGGTTAAACCCACAAACGTTTCAAAATGTCTGATAGCATATCCAGTCAACATCTGTGAGTGTAATTCGATATTTCCGGCACGGTTTGAAGTCCGCCGCTGTCTACGTTTGATATCATGCAAAGTTGAAGTAATTTGTGAGTTGAAAAAGAATACCTGTGAATTCAAGAGTGACACGTGACTATCAGTTTTTATTTTCTTTTTCGATTGTCTCGTTGTCTCAAAGCTTCGAGCGATCCATTCGTTAAAAATGGCCTGGCGCAGTCAGTCTTACACGTAAAGGTCTGAACTGGCGGAACTAAAAAAAGGGAGATCATCTGTGCAATTGCCATGGAAATAGCCACCTGAATTTAGCGATAGGTTTGACATGCTGCTTTTATGAGTTAGAGGCCCCTGGGTGGAAAATCAGACGACGGAAGCGATCTTGAACTCTCTCAGCGATAGAGATCGTGGGTTTGGGAGTTATAGCCCAGATGTATTTTTTAAATCATTTCATCCTAAGTAAGGTAATAAAGCCACTAGGACTCAACAGTTTATCGGGTGTTAGAGAATATAAGAAAGAAAAACTACTGTTAAGGAGAGAGGACAATGAAAGAACATGGATTAAGACAGAGGATAACGATTGACATTGCATCTAAATATTTCAAGATCAAAGCTGACCGGCAAGCAAGAAACTGAAAGAGAGTTCCACAAGCGAGAAGTGATGTAGAAGAAACTGTTAGCATAGAACTTACGGTTACATCTAGCCATTTCAACAAGTAAAATGACGGGACCTATCCGCCAATCTAGTACCGCGCTTAAATTTATAGGGTCTAGGTACCGTAGGTAGTTAGCCATTCTGTATTGGTGATAAATACAAATGAAATTGACCCTCTACTTTTTTTTATTAAATCAAATGAAACAAAGAAAACGATAAAAGAAATAATCAAGTAGACAGATATATGTTTAACAATAAATATTTTTTATATAAGACAACAAATACAAACGATATAATGAAGTTTTTAAAAAACAATTTAGATTTCTTGGTTGTGTGATCTAAAGTAAATCTATATAAGTTATATTATATGTGAAAAGTGTGTGTATATATATATATATATATATATATATATATATATATATAATTATTTATATATTATATGCGTGGTACTTATTAGAAAGCGATCAATATCAGAGATAGAGCTAACATATTTGTCTACAAGCATTTTCCATTCGCTTTTATAGGGCAAAGTGTAGCTTCGACCGTGTCGCTGCTGTCACCGTTGGCAATTTAAGAGATCGCATTTCAACTTTTGCCTCTCTAGGGGATCCTCATGAAATAGATATCAGATTGTGAGTCATTTACTGCTTAATCCATGAGTCAAAGAATTATTTCAGTCGCTTGTGTAGGCAGGGAGTGACCTTCGACGATACGGGACCTTGTGTTAGTGAATTTGTAGGAATTTTGATGCGGACCAAAACTGAGGGATCACTCACAATCTCCCTGCTTTATAACTTTTTTCCAGTAGATGAAATCTCTTCAAAATTGGTATTAAATTGTGCAAAATCTCTCACTCCGTCCATGTCTACAAGCATTTTCCATTCGCTTTTATAGGGCAAAGTGTAGCTTCAACCGTGTCGCTGCTGTCACCGTTGGCAATTTACGGTGTCCGAAAAGCGGTTTGCTCGAAGAGATCGCATTTCAACTTTTGCCTCTCTAGGGGATCCTCATGAAATAAATATCAGATTGTGAGTAATTTCCTGCTTAATCCATGAGTCAAAGAATTATATTTGATGTGAGTTTGTGACCCTGGGTTTCACGCGTTTGTCTGACGATCGCAAAAGCGTGAAACCCAGGGTCACAAAACTCACATCAATCCAACCAAATATAAGTTATATTATAGATCTGGTATTCAGAAATTGTATGTATGTTGTGGTGTCTTCCTCGTCGCTTAGATATTATGACCAAGTAAATGGTTAAAGAAATAACAAAACAAGTGTTACAGATATATCATATATTAAACAGTAAGTACAACAGAAGAGTATTACACGACTAGTGAGGGTGTGTCGATTAACCTAGCGTTCAATCTATTCGACTGTTAATATTTACCGGCCACCCCACGAGGTCAGATGTGGCACAAGGACGAGTTTAATGTAGAGCAAATTGAACCCATAGGATCGGCCAAAAATTTCCCGTGGGTAAATAGTGTCTTGAAAGTTTCATTAAAATCCGACAATTATTTGAATTATGCAAGAATTTCCAAATCAATGTGTTCTTCACCTGAAAATAGGCGAAAAAAAAAAAAACTGACGTAAATTTGACGCCGACTAAAAAAAAAAACAACAACAAAAAAACAAAAAGAAACAAGATTTTATCAAAATGTCGAATGTGTTAGAAAAGATTCAAAATTTAAGAAAATAATCAAAAAATATTTTAACGATAAAATTTCTTTTTATTAAGTTTTGGGCCTTTTTCAGCATGTTTCCCGAGACGATGATGTGGCCTAAGGCCGAATTTAATGTCGGGTATCCGAGCCCGTAGCCTCGGCCAACAATTCCTGTAGACCCCTTATAAAACGGGGTCGGGTAGCTGTTTCCCGAGAAGAGATT